GGGGGGGGGGGGGGGGGGGGGGGGGGGGGGGGGGGGGGGGGGGGGGGGGGGGGGGGGGGGGGGGGGGGGGGGGGGGGGTCGAGTGGGTCGCCTTAGATGCCTCCCGGGTCTGCAATACAACTACTGTAGCTGGGTTGTCGTTGGTCTAGACTGGTTTTCATGCAGGGCAAAGTGGTGTGCTAGTTTCGCAGGGGGGGCGTGCCGATGTATGTCTCGACGGCAGTGTTACTACTGCTGTGTTGACGCGTGCGTGTGTGTGTTGAGCAAAGCTGGTTGTGTATTGAGAATTTCTGAATGACCGACATATCCACCTCGCGACCAAAGCAAACCTGAGGGGGGCTGCAAACGGCAAAAAAAGAACAAATTAGCTCCTCGCTGCTACCAGGCTATAGATACCAGAAGCGGCCGTTGAGATTCGCGGAGAAACACAGCACATGTTACAGCAGTGGCATACGTCACTCGCCATAACAGGGACATCGAACGTAAACGTAGTCGGACAAAAAACGCGCGGACCGAGAACGCTCTTGCCTGGCCTTGGCACGTCGACGATACTTGTCCTCGCTTCGGATGACCATGTACATCGACTCCGACAACACCCAGCCGGGCCGAAGGTGGTTGAGGCCGGGAGAGACGCCGGGGAGCCCCGCTTCCTCCTGGCTGTTGATGAGGCAGAAGGGGAACGCCACCTGACACATTTTGACGAATCAGGTTCGTCCGTTCCGAAAAACAACAACACACTTGGTTACTACCCGACCAACAGACCGCTATTGCAATATTCAAAGACCGTCGGACTACACAGATTGTGGTGGGCGTTGTTATATAATGTGTCTCGCATGTGGGCCAAAGGAACGGGTCACACTGAGGTGCCCACATGTTATCACTGGTTAGATGTGGGTGTTTGATTCAACGCTGGTGAAGCTGTTGTGGGTGCTACCTTGCCTCTGGCGCCGGGGTGTCCTATCCAACCCCGCCTCACACAGCACCGATCCCAACGACGACAACAACAACGGCGGCATGACGGAGAGGAGCGGAGCGGAGCGGCGGCACAGCTAGTTCTGAACGACACACCAACCGAGACGGAAGAGAGAGANGGGGGGGGGGGGGGGGGGGGGGGGGGGGGGGGGGGGGGGGGGGGGCAGACAGGCAGGACAAAAAAGACGCTGCACCGACATGATGAGGAAGAGCTCGGGTGGGAGGGAAGACGGACGGTTAGACCAAAAAAAGACTCAGCTGCTTATCTCTCTGGGTAAGCGCACTAACAAGGCAAGAGAGACCTCCTAGAAAATGACTTCAGTCACTGCTGCAATAGCCAACGTACCCTCTGTGGGAGGCACGTGACGCCCGAGCCAATGACACTGAAGGGTGACTCCGAGTAATTAGCGGGGAACTTGATGACCGTGGACAGCCCGAAAAAAACGCCTTCTCCCGGCCAGATTTCTTGGTCAGCCTGTTCGCGCCGATAAAAAAAAAAAAAACTGAGGAAGCTGAGCTGGACCGCAACAAGAAGAAAAACACGAGCGCCGTAAACTGCAATACTCCCACCAGATTGCAAGAACATGGCTCCGAACCGATAAGAAAGAACGAAACAAAAGCGTGACCCATTGACTAGAATCGATGCCAACGACAAGGAAAAAAATCAGCAGGCAAATAAACTCCCGAAAGACGACAACGACGGAAGGGAGCAAAAAAAGAGGGAATATTAATATTCCAAAAGAGACCCCACGAGACACGCGTACCACCAGAACCCACCAAAAAAAGGGGGGAGGACTGAAAGGATCGAAAGAAGACAAACGCAAAGAAGAGCCGGCAGAGCGGACTACTACGGCCGGCAAAGCACCCACAAGAACATGTTCGCAAGCTTAGTCGAGCCGGGCTTGAAAAAAAAAAAAAACGCTAGCTCACGAGTGCCTAGATCCGAGGGTGTCTTCCATATCGCTAAATCTTGTCGTAGCCAAAAACAACCAAAACAGCAAGCATACTTCGTACATCGTCGTGACCCCTGACCTCACAACAAACAAGCTACATCGCCGCAACTTCTCTCACCTCACGACCAACAAGCATACTCGTACATCGACGCGACCTCTCACCTCACAAGAAAGAAGCATACATCGTGGCCCTCACCTCACAACAGACAAGCATGCCTCGCCGAGACCACTCACCTGCCGCGAGGTGTGGTTAGACCCCACGTTGGCCCCGTACCCCACGTTCCCCCGCCCCAGAGGCCAGACCGTCGCGATGAGCAACGACTGGTGGTGGAAACCCACAAAAGGTCCGACCAGGCAGTGAAGGCACTCGCCGGCGCCCACCCCGCTGTCGGGCCCGAGCACGGAGTGCGTGAGCTTCGTTGCGGAGAGGGTCCGGCGCAAGGGGGTGGGGGGTCGGGGGGGTGTACTCATAGTCGTGCATGCCGTAGTCGTTAGTCCATTGACCTCGCATCCCTACAAAGCCGGGACGGAGCACGCCGGGTTCTCACCGGACCAGGCTCACATCACCAAGCGCGGAGCGCCGTGAGATATTCGGCGAGTCGCATGAAGGGTGCGCTGCATCCTGCTAAGGGTTTTCGGCATCTTGTGCTTACTTCCTTGCGTACGGATGACAGCTGCGTATGACTTAATTTATTTTCTGGTGCTTTCACTTCCAGAGACAGTTGTAAGCACTGTGTAACTGCCTCGAGGGTGCTTGACCATTTTAACACAACGTGGTGCGATCATCCCCCTTGCGCGGAGTGAGGGTTCTCCACCCCGCACAACATGATCTACTCGACCACCATTATGGTTACCGCCAAAAAAAAAAACGGAGGTAAAAAAAAAAAACGGTAACCTGGTTGCCGAGTTCACGAAGTGAATTGGCTTGTTTTACAACGTCGTTGCCAAGCGACGAAAACCCAATCCCGACGGCAAACACCGATGGGGGGGCTTGTTTTATAGTNNTGGGTTGTCTACCCCTCTTTTTGTTTGCCCACTTCGCCTCCCATACAATCCTCGGCAACCTCTCCTCTCCCATCCCGCACATGCGATACTGCCAGGTCAGCTTCCTCGCGTCTCTTCCCGACCGTAGGGATTGGATCCCCAATTCTGCCCTCACGGCTGCATTACTTGTGCGCCTGGAGCATCCTAGGATGGTTTTCGCTGCTTTCATCTGCGCCGCCTCGAGTTCTTTCACTACCTTCTTATTTCCTTCCCATACTTCTCCGGCGTACTCTAGCGGCGGTACGATTACGCTCTTCAAAACCGACACCGGGGGGGGGCGGCTTGTTTTATAACGTCGTTTTCAAGCGACGAAAACCCAACCCCGATGGTAACCACCGGGGGTGGGGTACTCATGTGACCGCATGCCGTAGTCTTTAAATCGTTGACCTTGCATCCCTACAATGCCGGGACGGAGCGAAATGCCGGGTTTTCGCCGGCCCGGGCTACGTTTCACAAGCATGGACCGGAAGCTGGTCATCGCAAGAGGGTGGGGGGGTGGCGAGTTCAAGACGAGGCACGTGCTAGCCTTTTTCGGCGAGAGGGTGACAGAGGCGAGTCCAGGCACCGGAATGCGGAACGTTGTTCGCTTCGGAAGGGTGGAACTTCGGTTTGTACGCGCCTGTTCGGGCGTAACCAACACCGCCCTCCTTCTTTCATTCTGCCACCTTCCTCCATGTCTGAAAAAGAAATTATTCAAACGAGTCGCCTTTGCGTTGGCGTCGACAAATTATCACAAACGTCAACAGCAGGCAACCCCCTCTCCCCCCACCACCGCCGCCGCCAAGCCACCGCCAAAAAAACAATACCTGGCAAAAGCGACAACAACAGGACGGCAGCTGCGACAGCAACACCTTCTAAATAAAACACCGCTGCTGTTGGTGCAAGGAGGAGTTCCGCACCAACCAAAAAAAAAAAAAAACGATCACCTTGCCGTGGTTGTCGACGTGGCTGTGTTCCATGAGAAGGCTGTCGCTCACGATACAGCCCCGGTCGACGGTAACCCCGTGCTGCAGCAGCGATGACGTCACGGACGAGCCGCAAGTTACCCTTGACGGCTCCTCCGCCGTCGACAGGATCGTCGCGTTCTCCACCGCGCACGACTTCGGGGGGGGGGCGGAGGGCGGGTGCCCCGATGTTTTCGGGTGAAAACAACAGGGGGGGCACAAGGATAAGAACGACAACAACAGGAGGAGTGCCGAAATACGTTGTTGGGAGCGCTTGGCTGCTCGTTGACATCAGTCACCAAGGCAAAACCGAAGCCCGTCGACTCCAGTATCATCTGCAACAACGGCACCATGTGGAGCAAACGAGGGTCATTTGCCTTCAAGCAAAGCAACCCAGACACCAGGCGGTAAAAAAGTGGCACAAAAGAAAGTACCTGCACAACGATGACGCACGCACGCGGACGGACGGAACGAACCCGCACCAGGAAAAAAAGAATGACAACGCGAATCCCTCACCAAAAAACTCTTTTTCGTCGATGTGACGACAAAATCCCTCCGCCCCGAGAGCTTTTTATTAATGTTGGTCCTCCCGCTCTCTCACCTCGAGCAGGGCGTTGGCACCGATGAAGACGTCCACCACCCTGGAGCACGACATGACCACGGCGCCTGGCCCTATCACGGTGGCTCCGCACCTATTTAGCGCAGTAAGCGCGGTACGCGAGAGGAGTGGCGACAGCAGGGGATAGTAGTGGCGGTAATCGTCAATACAACAATTGAGACCAATGACGCAAGGTTTGCGCGATACAAGGGGGATAGCGGTCGCGGTGACAGCAGCGGCGTGGGGTTTTATCACTGAGGCCAAACCAATTGATCGCAATAGAGACGTATCTGTTTTCCAGGTCCACATATGATGAGTACACGAACATGCCACTCGTCCTACAGAGTAGTGGGACAGCAGTGCAGGAGCAACAGCAGACACAGGGAGGCGCCGAAGCGAAGGGAGTGACCGGAGGAGGCCGTAAAGGGGGGAGCGGAGGAGACGGGACGGGCGGGCAAGCGGGAAACAGGGAGCGCCCGCATGTGGGCGAAGACGAGCCACATGGCCATCTATCGCCCTACCGGTATAACATGAGCGTGGAGGCCGGTGGTAGATAGACTCGGCTGTGCCGAGATGCAGCTCTTGTAGCCTTACTCGTGGTTTAGCTCAGGTCCATCAACGATGCGATAGGCACAACCACTCCGAACAGGAGGACACACACGACAGCATTAACGATTCCAATGCCGTACGCTTTTGTGCTCTGTCACCACTCCGTCCCATCACAACACACCGCTGTTGTTCAAGCGAACCCATGGATGTCAGTCAGCATTTCCTCGGAGAAATAACAGGCAGAACAAATTCTACACATCCGCTCTCTAGCCTCCCCGTGCCTGGCGAGCTCAGCGTACGCGTCGACCGCTAGACGGTGCTCGTTCACGGCCTCGGGCGACGATCTGTCCGCCGCCGCCGCCGCCGCCGCCGCGAGCGGCATCGTCACGTAGCAGGCCAGCTCTCGGCCTCGGGTCTCGGGCCCCACGGTCACGGCTATCCCGTTGGCGAAGGAGCAGAAGCCTCCGTCGCTGCTGCTGCTGCTGCTGCCGCTGCTGCCGCTGCTGCCGCTGCTGTCGGATGGCTGCTGCGAGCACGAGACCAGGCCGCAGTTGATGACGGCCGCTCCGGGACCCACCACGCAGCGAGTCATCGCGTGGCATCCCTGCAAGCGAGAGGGGCGTGCAAACGTACAAGAGAAGTGGATTTGTTCTTGGAGTCTACTTAGCAGACCACAACGCAAAGTCGCGTATCCCTTTCCACGGGCGACAATCGCACGTTGTGTGCCGCAATGCAGAGCAACGAGCAACACAATTTGCCGACTTTCGACAGCAGTGTTCACGTGGGGGTGGTGTTACAGGGCGACAGGGTTGCTTTGTTCAGTCCACCGCACGAGAAACAACAAAACATCTCCGCATCTTGTTGAGGGGAGAAGTGCAAAAAAGTGTGGAATGGGACGGGTAAACGACATGCAGGCGGTTGTTTTCTCATGAGGCTACAGGACACGCCTGCCGAGGGGGGGGTCGTCCTCAAGTTCTCTGTGACGGCCCAAGCAAGCCCTGGTGTCGCGGCATACAAGGGAACGGTCGCATGCAACTCTTCTACGTACTTGGCCATGCGTCGAAAGAGGAGTCGAAGATGAAATCGTGCTCAAAATCTATTCGCAGAACGTCTGGGTGCCGTAACTCTGGCGTGGCCCTGCCCTGACCCCTCGTATCTCTTTTTGCCGTACTCGATGACGCAGCACCGCTGATATTCTGCGGCCCGTATACAATCCTCCCGATAATGGTGACTTCCAAGCCTAGAGACTGCAAGTTTTTTCTATTCCCATGGAACGTTTGCGGTGCATAGGCGCTATCTCGTGAAACCCGCCACCCTCCACCGAATTGCGAGTCCGCACAACACTTGCAAAAGTGCCTTCTCTCTAAACCCACTGCCACTTTCGCTACACGCGCCGCCTACGAAGCGCGCGCTGTTGTTCACGAGCAGGAACGCTCGGGAACAGTGGCCGCACTCTACCGACCAACCTTGACGAGAGCTCCATCGCCGACGACAACCCAGGACAGCGTGGAGTTGTACACGCCGCACGGCTGCGAGTATTGCTCGGCTACTGGGAGGATGATCTGGAGTTTCGCAGGAGAAAAAACAAAAAAACGGGCGTGCACGTGCATACTCAAGTGCGTCGTTTTTCGCGAGCATTGTGGGAAGCGATGGCGAGTTGTTCGTGGGGACACTCATTGGGGTACTCATGCATAGCGTTGCTTGCCTATCGTGGACGCAGTTATGTATCGCGGGTCGACACATTTATGCCGTATGTACATGCACGCGATATTCTCCACACTGAAGCGGGGTTTAACCCTGAGAAGAAGTCGGCCTCAAGGGGGGGAACGCCTTCGTTCGCGTGTTTTGTGTACTCACCTCGCCACTGAAGTCCCCCAGCAACACCGGTCCGTGGAAAACGCAGCCACGAACACGCCCGGCAGCGATGCTGCTTTTCGTCTCGCTAGGACCACTCCCTTCTGAAACGCGGACCAACGACCAGTTGGTCGCCCAGTTGCCGTGGACTTGTAGCTTCCGCACCTGAGTCGATGCGTACGTAAAAAATATATAAAAAGGTTCTGCTGGAGACGCTCACAAACGGACACACCGCTATGGATTATTGCATTTTCTTATGAATATGTAACCCATCTCTATCCATAGATGAGGGTAGAAGAGGCTGTTTTGAAAAACTTCTTCAACTTTCGGGTCTCTTCGCCATTTTTGTCACCCTTCCAGCCCTCCTGAGAGCAACACGATCGGGCAGCGCGCAGTAATTTTGGCAAACTGCTGCCTCTCCATTTTTTGGTGGCACAATAAAATTCTTACTCCCACATACGCGTTAAAACAGGGGTGGTCAAGCTGTTGCGACCACGAACCCGTTTGGATCGCCCAACAAAGAGGGAAACACCCAAAACTGGATGTTGGCAAGGGCCGCGTGGTGCCGCTGGGTGGTGCAGCAGCTGCAAGTTACGGCGGATATGAAAGGCGCGGCGCAACTTTCAGCTTTACACATGAGCTCGACGAGAATGAGAAATGTCTCCCTGGGCACACTGAACACGTGAGTAAGGCCATTCTCCCTGGTTCCAAAGGGGCACCTGGATGCCATGGGACACCGATACCGTTGATGGCCAAGAAGGAAGAGATGGCAGCCTCAACAGCGCTCTCCCTCGTGTGGCCAACGTACAAGAAACGAACGACGTTGAACAAGGCGTGCAACCAAGTCGGCCCAACAAATCGTTCCAACGACCCAAATGCTGTAGCCACGGGCAGCTGTGAACAAACAGACTACCACGAAGCTTGGCCGAAGCACGCAACATCTCAGCAAGCACAGTACAGTAGAAGCTTGCCCACGGAGGAACATGCAACTACGGGTTGGCCGCACCTCCTCGGATGTAAGACCTCGGCCTTCGCTCTGGAGACCTGCGTAGACACCCCGCGCAGCAGCGACATCCTCAAGAAATTCGTCGTTACTCTGCGGCGGTCCTTCCAAAGATCGCCCAGTTTTGGCTCGCACGGCTTGGATGGCGATATCCATGGCACTGGCCGGGGTTTGTTTGGCCCACGCCCACTCAGAGCTTTTCAGTTTTGTCTCTCGCTGCTCTTTTGCCTGTGTCGCAAATTTTTGGACTGAAATTGTATTGCCAATCGGCCGCACACAAGGGCTTCCCAAACTCCGAAACTCGGAGGTTCGCGGCGGTGAGAAAGTGTCTGTTCGGCATGGCGAGGACTCTTCCCGCCTTCCCGCTTCCCGCACTCCGCACGTGGTTCAATGATATTGTTGGTATACGAAAGCAGTCTCGCCGGTTGTCCGTCGAACGTCGTCCACATTCTAGCTATGCACTCAGTTTCTCAAGAGTCGAAGATGAATGGGAAGTACGTGTATGTTAGATATACTCGTAGCATAGTAATGTGGTTGAGTATGGGACATGGATCTACGGAGATTGCAGTTGGTAGATCGCGGAGGAACAGGGAGTTTCTGCTTGGTTTCTTCGGAGATTCGATGAGTGATCTGAATTGCGTGACGGATAGGTGTGGTGACGC